AAAAAAAAAAAAAAAAAAAATTCTTAAAGATGTAACTTCCAATCTGGAATTCTGTACCTAGCCATACAATCAACTGAGTATAAGAGTAGAAAAAAATATTTTAAAAAAAATATAAAGAAAGAAAGAAAGAAGGTATAATAGACTTAGAGTTCCACAGGGCTGAGGAGCCTTACAATCATGGCAGAAGGCAAGGAAGAGCAAGTCACATCTTACATGGATGGCAGAAGGCAGAAAGAGAGAACTTGTGCAGGGGATTTCCTCTTGATAAAACCATCAGATCTTGTGAGACTTATTCACTAACATAAGAATGGCATGGGAAAGACTTGCTCCCATGATTCCATTACCTCCTACCAGGTCTCTGCCACAACATGTGGGAATTCAAGTTAAGATTTGGGTCCTTGAGTCCAGCCAAACCCTGTGACCCACGCTGGTCTTGAACTCCAGGACTCAAGGAATTCTCCCACCTCAGCCTCCGAAAGTGCTGGGATTACAGGCATGCGCCACCACACCTGGTCTGTTTCCTTTTCTAATGTATGCATTTAGTGCTAAAACTTTTCCTCATGGCACTGATTTAGCATGAAGTATAGAAACCTTAATTGTCTACATACATTTAGAACCACAATAGATGGTTTTATAATTTTGCTTCAACTGGCAAACATAATTTAGGAAACTCAAGAGGAGAAGTGTACTTATTCATATTTCTTACTATGTTTTCCTCCTCCTTGATGTTCCAGGACTACTACTTTTGTCATTTTCTTTCTGTTTAAAAACTTGAACCATTATTTTAGATAACTATGCTGGTAACATGTTTTCTTAGTTTTCCTTCATTTGAGAATGTCTTGATTTCTCCTTTATTCCTCAAGGTTGTTTTCACCAGATATAGGTTTCTGGGTTGACAGTTCTTTTCTTTCAGCACTTGAAACATTTTGTGTCACTTCCTTCTGGCCTCCATAGTTTCTGAAGAAAAATCTGCTGTCATCCTAATAGTTTTATGCCTGCAGTCAAGATAGTTTTTCCACTTGCCGCTTTCAACATATTTTTGTCTTTATTTTTTATTTTATTTATTGTTATTTATTTTTTTGAGACACAGTCACACTCTGTTGCCCAGGCTGGAATACAGTGGCACAATCTTGGCTCACTGCAACCTCTGCCTCCCAGGTTCAAGCAATTTTTGTGCCTCAGCCACCCGAGTAGCTGAGATTACAGGTGTGCACCACCATGGCCAGCTGATTTTTGTATTTTTTTTTGGTAGAGGTGGGCTTTCACCATGTTGGCCGGGCTGGTCTTGAACTTCTGACCTCAAGCAGTCCATCTGCTTTGGCTTCCCAAAGTGCTGGGATTACAGGCGTGAGCCACTGTGCCTGGCCTTGTCTTTAGTTTTCAGATGTTTGACTATTATGTATCTTGATGTAGGTTTCATCAGGTTTATGCTGTTTGGGATTTGTTCAGCTTCTTGAATCTGTAACTTTATGTCTTTTGCCAAACTTGGAGAATTTTCAGCCATTATTTCTTAAGTACTTTTACTATCCTACCCTCTTCTTCCTCTCCTTCTTGGACTCTGAGACAAAATATTAGCTCTTTTGTATTTTTGCAAGTCCTTGATTCTCTGTTAATGTTTTTCATTCTGTTTTTCTCTGTAATTCAGATTGAAGAATTCTATTTTCTGTCTTCTGATTCAGTGATTCATTGAGTTTATTTTGTTTATTGTATTTTTCACTTCTTAAACTTTCCATTTCGGTCTTGATATCTTCTATTTCTTTACTAAGATCTTCTATTTTTTTCATTTGTTTCAAGTGTGCTTGTAATTGCTCATTGAAGTATTTACAAGGTACTGTTTAAAAATCTTTGTTGGATAATCCTAACACTTGTTACTCAATGTTGATCATCTAGTGTCTTTTTTTAATTCAGTTTGAGATGTTCCTAGTTCTTGGTGTGATTAGTGATTTTTTAAAATAGTATAGCCTGGACATCTTGCATATCGTGTTATGAGGCTCTAGATTTTATTTAATCCTTTTATCTGGCTCCTTTTGACATTGCTCCATGAGGGGAGGTGGTGGGAGGTACCACTTTATTACGGCCAGATAAAAGTAGAAATTCATCACTTTGACATTTGAGGGGAGGGGCAGGAAGTTTATTCTTACTGCAGGTTGAAGTAGGCATTTTGGCTCCTTACCAGATAACTCCCCTGGCTGGGAAAGGACTACAGTGCTTCATTACTCTCCCCACGTGGCATGACAGAAGGGTATGTGGCCTAATTGTCATGAAACAGTAACGCAGGTCCTGAATGCCAGGTAGGCCTCCTTTGATACCACCCCAGAGTAGATGGAGATGGGTATCTCATTACTGCCAATAGGGGTGGAATTTAGGCTCCCTGTGTGGTTTCCACTGACCACTTGGCAAGGGGGTGGGGAGGCTATTCTGTGCATATGAAGAAAATGACATTTTTTAAATGTCAATAGTTATTGTGATTTTTTTTTTTTTTTTTTTTTGAGATGGAATCTTACTCTGTGGCCCAGGCTGGAGCGGTGTGATTGTGGCTCACTGCAGCCTCCACCTCTCGGGTTCAAGCTTCCTGACTCAGCCTCCTGAGAAGGTGGGATTACAGGCATGAGCCACCATACCAGGCTAATTTTTGTATTTTTAGTAGGAACAGGGTTTCACTATGTTGTTTAGGCTGGTCTCAAACTCTTGACCTCAGGTGACCCACCTGCCTCAGCCTCCCAAAGTGCTGGAATTACAGGCATGAGCCACCACGCTTGGCCTAGTTATTGTGAATTTACAGGATAAGGAAAAAAGAAAAGGGAAGAATAAATGCAAAAAGGAGGAAAGTATAGATAGGTTTGGCAGTGGTGGAATGGAATTACTATTGATTATATGTGTTAATCAAAATGAGAATGTTATTTTTTTTCATGATGATGGCATACACTTTGTCTTAAACTTGAAATTACTACTTAGTTTCAACAAAATGTCATAAAAATGTTATGTTTTTCAGAGATACTTTAATAATTGATGAGCTAATAAGAAAGATTTGCATATTCAGTTTATCATTTTTGTCTTCGTTATCAGAAAACTCATAACTAAATGTGTGGTATTTATGTTAGTCTACAGTGTACATGATTGATGTTTTCCTCTTACATGCTGTTTAATTTCTATTTTAAACAGCTTTATTATATGAGATGCTCAACTTTTTTAGAACTCACTAGGATACAGTAAATAAATAATGTGATACACGTTTTTACATCTAGATTAACTGAACCTAAGTCCTACGTTTAGGATATGTGAAAATCTCAGTAATTCAGAAAGGCTTTTTTACTTACTTGTCTTCCCTTCCCTGTTGCCCCCAAGTTAGATTATAATTATCATATATTCAGAAGTTTCTGATTAGTCTCCGTGATTGCCCTTTCCAAACTATAGAATGTGTAGTAGAATGTAACACTCCTGTAACTTTGAAAACTCTGAATACCTTTCATAAGGGTTGTAGATTTCTGGGGGTTTTTTTTGTTTGTTTGTTTGTTTTAGACAAAGTTTCCTTCTTGCCCAGGCTGGAGTGCAATGGGGTAATCTCAGCACACTGCAACCTCCACCTCCTGGGTTCAAGTGATTCTCCTGCCTCAGCCTCCCAAGTAGCTGGGATTACAGGCATATGCCACCATGCCCCGCTAATTTTATACTTTTAGTAGAGATGGGGTTTCTCCATGTTGGTCAGGCTGGTCTCGAACTCCCGACCTCAGGTGATCTGCCCACCTTGGCCTCCCAAAGTATTGGTATTATAGGTCTGAGCCATCATGCCCGGCCAGGGTTGTTGATTTCTAAGCAAATGGTGTTTGTTAACTATTAATAGAACCTTAGTGTTTACAATGCAAAAGGATCATTGTAGCAAGGGTCAAAGAAAAAGTAGATTGACATATCTGAGCTGCTCCAAATGCACTTAAAATTACTAAGTGCATTTGGAGCAGCTCAGATATGTGAATCTACTTCTTCAACTGTAGATTTTATTAAATCTAAATATAGGCCAAATATTTCTGAAGAAAATTTAGCATTTAAATTGAGATATGGTTTATAAGTGTTAAATGCCCACCAAAATCAAAGACTTACTACAAGAAAAGGAATGTAAAATGTCTTACTTTTATGTTAGTTGCATGTTGAAAAGTTAAAATTTTTGATACATTGGATTAAGTATAATAGTAAAAAATTTTAAACCAGCAAATTGGTGACTAATGGAATAGTTAAGTAATTTTAGGAAAACAGCAAAAAATCTCTTTGTTTCCTTTTTTTTGTTGTTATTATTATTATTATTTTGAGATGAAGTCTTGCTTTGTCACCCAGGCTCCAGTGCAATGGCATGATCTCTGCTTACTGTAACCTCGACATCCCAGGTTCAAGCGATTTTCCTTCCTCAGCTTCCCAAGTAGCTGGGACCACAGGCATGCACCACCACATCTGGCTAATTTTTGTACTTTTAGTAGAAATAGGGTTTCACTATATTGGCCAAGCTGGTTTTGAACTCCTGACTTCAAGTGATCCACCTGCCTTGACCTCCCAAAGTGCTGGGATTACAGTTGGGAGTCACCACACCCAGATTTTTCTATTTTTTTTTTAAGCCCAAACCTCACACCTTTTTGGTTTCCTTTATAACCCACCTAGTAATGGGGCTTTAAACAAGTAGCTTAGCAAAGTAGCAGAGATTTAGATAGGGCCTTTGAGTCCCAAACTAGCATTAGAAAATCTGATTCTCAGCTGTAAGATTCTATGGTCATTAATGATCTGAGAAATTGGGGGGTGGCATACAATTAGATACACAGATTTACAAAATACAAGCAGTGATTCCCAAACTCTTCAGTTAGACTAAAAACATTTGTTTATAGATTGACAAACTTTTTTTTTTAATTTTTAAATTAGGTGACTAAATAAAGGTACCAGAAGAATATGGCTGCACAAATACCAGAATCTGATCAGATAAAGCAGGTAAGGTATTCTCATTAAGGGGGGAAAGATACTGCAAAAAAATGTAAGGTGCTACTAATGCCACCATGTCGGCTGGGTGCAGTGGCTCAGACCTGTAATCTCAGTACTTTGGGAGGCCCAGACGGGTGGATCACTTGAGGTCAGGAGTTCGAGACCAGCCTGGCCAACATGGTGAAGCCCTGTCTCATAAAAATACAAAAATTAGCCAGGCGTGGTGGCAGACACCTGAAAGTCCCAGCTACCTGGGAGGTTGAGGCAGGAGAATCATTTGACCCAGGAGGCAGAGGCTGCAGTGTGCTAATATCACACCACCGCACTCCAGCCCGGGCAACAGAGCAAGACTCCATCTCAAAAAAAAAAAAAAAATGTCAGCCAGTGGTTTCACAAAACAATTATTTCTATTTCATTTCCAAAATGGATAGTAAATGATATAAAGCATATGTATTTTTAATTTGACTGATAAGGAAAAATTAAATATTCAACTAGAAAATAAGACTATGTTGTAGATCATATTGTACCCATTTAAGTTAGTATAATAACTATGATTTCAAGTGTTACCATATATTTTGTCTAAATATAAAATACTAGTAATTTAAGTTTCAAATCTTTGTTTTAAAAACCATGTATTAAAGAACATTCTGGTTTGTTTGTAGTTTAAGGAATTTCTGGGGACCTACAATAAACTTACAGAGACCTGCTTTTTGGACTGTGTTAAAGACTTCACAACAAGAGAAGTAAAACCTGAAGAGGTATGGAAATTGTTACTCACTAAAATTCTCCAAGCTTGTCATAAACACTGTAAGTAGGATCCCCCTAAGCATTTCACTTGTTCCTACTTATTACAAGAATTTAGACTATCTTTTATGTTTCATTGCTTGGAAGAACTGAAGCAGTGACCGACCCATGGCATTGAGTTTAACAGCGCCACGTTTAATATGACAGTTACACTGTGCCAAGTCAGATCATTTTAGAGAAGATGCCTGCAGCTGCTGAGATATTGTTCCACAGCAAAGATTCTTACTAATTAGCTTTCAGTCAAGATGGCCAACCGAGAGAAACTTGGCACAGCTTTCTGTATGGCCTTGGGAATTCTGGTTGGCTTTGGAAAAAACAAAGCTTGAATTTGGTGGCTCATACTGAAAACCCAATCCAATTAGAAGTCTTAACTTGTTTTTTTAAGATGAGGTCTTGTTCTGTCACCCAGGCTGGAGTGCAATGGCATAATCATAGCTCAGTGTAACTTTGAACTCCTAGCACTTTGGAAACCCAAAACAGGTGGATCACTTGAGCCCAGGAGTTCGAAACCAGCCTCAGCAACATGGTGAAACCCTGTCTTTAGAAGAAATAAAAATAGCTGGACATGCTGGCACGTGCCTGTGATCCCAGCTAGTCGGGAGCTGAGGTGACAGGGTCACCTGAGCCCAGGATGCAGAGGTGGCAGTGAGCTGTGATTACACTACTGCACTCTAGCCTGGGCGACAGAACAAGACTCTGACAAAAAAAAAAAAAGAAAAAGAAAAAAAAGAAAAGCACCAGCCTGGGCAACATAGTGAGACCTCATCTCTACTAAAAAATAAAATTAAAAATTAGCCACGCATGGTAGTGTGTGCCTGTAGTCTTAGCTACTCCAGGAGCTGAAGTAGGAGGATCACTTAAGCCCAGGAGGTTGAGGCCACAGTGAACCACTGCATTCTACCCTGGGCAACAGAGAGAGAACCTGTCTCAAAAAAATTAATACATAAAAAGTAAAAGGTTGAGAATTAAGAATGTTGTTTCTCATTAAAAAGGAAAAAACTTACTGGGCTTTGACTTAATACATCTGCAGAAAATCTAGTCCAGAAGCTTCTTGAAAGCATAGACTTACCATTGCTCTTAGTGACTACAAACTGGTGGGCATTCAATATATATTAATGCTTGTCAGTGGATGAAAGTGTCAGTTGAAAGCTATGGTCAGCTGCTGCCAATTAATACTATTTAATTCTCAGATATATTCAAAGAAAAGCAAACTACCCACTGGTTCTTTCAGAATTCATACATTTAAAAAAATTCATATTTTTGTGTTGCCTCTTGGATCTTCCCTTTTCATTCCTAGACCACCTGTTCAGAACATTGCTTACAGAAATATTTAAAAATGACACAAAGAATATCCATGAGATTTCAGGAATATCATATTCAGCAGAATGAAGCCCTGGCAGCCAAAGCAGGACTCCTTGGCCAACCACGATAGAGAAGTCCTGATGGATGGACCTTTGATGAAAGATTGCCAATAGCTGCTTTACTGAAAATGAGGATTCATCTGATAGAATCCCTTGAAAGCAGTAACCACCATGTTAAACCATCTGTCATGACTGTTTGGCATATGGAAACCACTGGAGAAACAAAATTGCTATTTACCAAGAATAATCAAAATAGAAGGTCTTATTGTTCAATGAAATAAGATGTAACATTTGTTGAGGCCTTTTGATTCAGCACCTTGGTCACTTGATTAGAAAAATAAACCATTGTTTCTTCAATTGTGACTGTGAATTTTAAAGCAAATTATGTGTTCAATCATGTATGAGATAGAAAAATTTTTATTACTAAAAGTAAAATAAATGGAAATATCACTGAGCAGTTGTTTATATATAATATTCTCATTGGACTGTAGAAATGTTGAAATGTTTTTCAATCAGGCTCATCCTCCCAGCATTTCTGTTCATTCATGTCTGCTTCAAATTGCTGGTGAATACATAAAATAGTTACTTGCTAATCATTTCAATACACAATCCTTTTCTTGCCTCCCTTCTTGTGTCAGGGTAGGCATTTCATATTCTTATTTTACCTACATTTTCATATATCTTCAGGAAACCATCCCATCTGCCCTAATTTGGTAATATTTAAGAGTTGACTATTACACTGTAATGGAGTTCATGTTTGTGTTTTGTTCAGAAGCTGACAGTCATACAAAAACGATTTTAAGGCTTGTCAATGATAATAAGTAAACCAAAGTTAATGTCTTATGGCTAATGAATCCTGAAACAAATCCAAGCATCTGCAGGAAATTCTAGGTGATGCAAAAGTAAACCAAGCAGTTTAGTAAAATGTAAGTGGGCTAATACTTACTAATCAACCGGCTTATGAATAGATTTCATTTGATACCATTTTAAACCTATATTTAAGGAAACACTAGTTAGCCTGTATGTTTAAATTTGCCAAAGTGATTTCTGTTTTGTATGTTAATGGAAGCAGAAGTATTGTTCTGCTTTAAAATTGAAGTGTTGAAATACGGATAATACTCAACAAAATACGCAATTATAGTCAAAGGAACATGAAAGAATAGGCTTGCTTCTCTTAAAGCAGCCAAAATTCAGAGATTTCACTTATTTAAGATTTTGGGCAATTCACACACATAGTTTGATATTCAAGCATAACATAGCTATTTACTGTTTACACTTCACAAAGATAATTAAATATTTGCTCACCTGGCAAAAAAGGGGAATTTTGTGCAGCAGCATCTCAAATACCTTGGGAGGGAGTGTGTGTTTGAAAACCTTCAGAAGTTCCTGTGGTTGTCTGCACACTAAAAGAGCATTGCTGAGGTGCTGAACCCCCATTCTATGCTCTCCTGAAACAGAATGACAAGTTTTCAGCAAAAATTTAAAGTTATTTAAAACAGACATTCTACAAATCCAAGAAAGCAACAAGCTTTAAAAAAAAGCATATCAAACTAAAGACTAGACAAGTCTTGTGAAGAGTAGAGTGCAAATATGAGGGAAGATGTTGAGCTTCACAGTGATGAAGCTGCAATATTAATAATTTTGGGCCAAATAAAACCAGTATGCTCTTACTGTTTAGAAGTGCACTTTTGCACTGGAAATGCTCATGTTCTATACTTTGGGTATGGAGGGAAGAGTATACTGAGGGTTTTTTTGTCTGCTTTTATTAATATCTGATAGGCTATCTTTACATGTGTGATTGATAAAATATAGAGGAAACATCTGATGTTCTAGCTAAATGGAACTTTAAAAAAAAATAGATTTCACTATCAAAGAGTTAAAGCAAGATTTAGTGTAACATGAATTACATACCCAGAGGAAAAAAAGAGATTTACGATCTCTGATTTCTAAGCACAGTTTTAAAATGAGTTTTAGGATGACTGACTTTGACGTAACAGAATGAAAAATTGTGAAGAGTGAAAATTAATCATAGCATTTCTGTTTAAGTCAGAACATGGAATGATTCTCGTCCCCTTGTTTTACTTTAAGGAAAGTGAGTCAAAGATGAGTGAAATGATGTAGAGCTTCAATGCTGATTAATGCCAGCATTAGGAATAGAACCTAATTTTCTGACCCTTGAGACTAGAGTACTGCCTGTCTTCAGGTATTCAGTAATCACAGGAGTTTAAATCTTGACATATGTAAGTGAGTAGAAAATAAAATAGGGCCCTACAGGTAAATATAATTATAGGTTCTTATTAGCTGAAGCTAGTTTTCCATTTATCTGTTGAAATACACGATCATATGAAGAGAAGAATGCGTGACAGAAAAAAATGCTTTCCAAAGATTGATATTAAGCTTAAACTAGAAAATGATAAGGATATGTCCTGACTTAAATACATCAAATTTTACATTTTCAACATAAGATATAATAGTACCTGTTCTCAAGATTGGTGGTGCTAACAATACCAGTCAACTAGGTCAAATAATGGAATCAACCAATATATTGAATCACACCAGCTCCTCAGAAATTTCAATCAAAATTATTGTCCCTATGGCCTCATATAAACGTAGCCACCATTGAGGTGGCTAAAGAACTGTATTTTACCTGACAGCAAAATGATGAAAATTGGGGGTGATGGCAAAGGGGAATGGAGAAAGTTAAGAAGATTGCGGAAAAGGGTAAAAAATTGCCACACTGGCTAGAATACTGTACTGGTTGGTTCTCAATGTTTTAGTAACGTAAGGAGGAGTTGGGTTTTTTTTGGAGACAGAATCTCCCTCTGTCACCCAGGCTGGAGTGCAGTGGCGCAATCTCAGCTCACTGCAACCTCCGCCTCCTTGGCTCAAGCGATTCTCCTACCTCAGTCTCCTGAGTAGCTGGGACAACAGGCGCGTGCCACCAGCCTAATTTTTGCATTTTTAGTAGAGACGGGGTTTCACCATGTTGGTCAGGCTGTCTCGAACTCCTGACCTCATGAGTCAGCCTCCTCAGCCTCCCAAAGTGCTGGGATTACAAGTGTGAGCTACCACACCTGGCATCTAGGGAGTTTTTTTTTTTTTTAATACTGACACCTGGGTTCCACCTCCATAGATTCTGATTTAATTGGTTTGGGGTTTGATGGACTTCTGTAAAGAACTATTAGGGGGCTGGGGCTCACGCCTGTAATCCCAGCACTTTGGGAGGCTGAGGCAGGCATTTCAGTTGAGGCCAGTTCAAGACCAGCCTGGCCAACATGGCAAAACGCAGTCTCTACTAAAAATGGAAAAATTAGCCAGGTGTGATGGCACCCACCTATATAATCCCAGCTACTTGGAAGGCTGAGACACAGAATTGCTTGAACCTGGGAGGCTGAGCCAAGATAATTCCATTGCCTTCCAGCCTGGGTGACAGAATGAGACACTGTCCACCACCCCCCCCTCAAAAAAAAAGCTATTAAATAATTTAGCAGTTAAAAATTTTTAAACCAAAGTTTGCAAGGTATGTTCAGATCACCCCTAAATCTAATTAAACTATTATAACTCATAAAATGAATAGGAATAAAATGTGATAAATCATCTTTTTTCTTTTGACTTACAATTTAGAACTTTCTTCTCCGCAATTTGAAGGCCCTTGTTTACAAAAAAGAATATAGAATTATGAGTACAAAATTGCTAGGGGTGGCAGGTGTGGTGGCTCATGCCTGTAATCCTAGCACTTTGGGAGGCCGAGGCGGGTGGATCACTTGAGGTCAAGAGTTCAAGACCAGCCTGACCAACTTTCACATTGGGTGAAACCCAATGTCTTCTAAAAATACAAAATTAGCTGGGTGTGGTGGTGCACACCTGTAATCCCAGCTACTTGAGAGGCTGAGGCAGGGGAATCACCTGTACCTGGGAGGTGGAGGTTGCAGGGGGCAGAGATCGAGCCATTGCACTCCAGCCGAGGCAACAAGAGCAAAACTCCATCTCAAAAAAAAAAAAAAAAAAAATTAGCTTGAGGGCCTTAGAGGCCTATGCAAATAAAGGTCTTTAGGTGTAAGCTTCACTAGTTTACATAAATCATTTCTGTTTATATCATTTAAGTCAGTTGTAACTGTACATTTTGTCACCAATATTTAGCAGGTATTTTTAGTCCATTTCAAAAATGACTCCATCTAAAAGCAAAGATCATTAATGTTAGTAGGTATTTTTAGTCCATTTAAAAAATTACCCCATCTGAAAGCAAAGATCAGTACTAAACAAAATATTAAAATACAAATAACAGCAATTAATGTGCAATGATTTTGAATGCCTACAACTTTTTCATTTCTCAAAACCTTTATAAAGGTTTAAGCCACTGAATAAAGTAAAAATCTTGGGTGTTGCTGTGAGTTGTCTTGGATTTAGACTTCCTCTTTGTTTTTTTTTGTTTGTTTGTTTGTTTGTTTGTTTTTTTTGGAGACGGAGTTTCACTCATGTTACCCAGGCTGGAGTGCAATGGCGCGATCTCGGCTCACCGCAACCTCCGCCTCCTGGTTCAGGCAATTCTCCTGCCTCAGCCTCCTGAGTAGCTGAGATTACAGGCACGCACCACCATGCCCAGCTAATTTTGTGTATTTTTAGTAGAGACGGGGTTTCACCATGTTGACCAGGATGGTCTCGATCTCTTGACCTCGTGATCCACCCGCCTCAGCCTCCCAAAGTGCTGGGATTACAGGCCTTGAGCCACCGCGCCCGGCCTCCTCTTTGTTTTTATAAATCCTGGAGGATGCTGTTCACAGACTGAAAAACAAAATCTTTGAAAAAAAAAGACAACAGAAAGAGGCAAAAACAGGTATAGGCACTGTGATATGCAAGGGAGTTTGCAACACTTAAAAATATATATATATAGATTGTACTGATGGGTGTAATGCTGGCTTATCCAGCAACATCAGTTACTTCTTTTTTATTTTTATTTATTTTTGTTTTTTTTTCTTTTGTTTTTTTTTTTTTTTTTTTTTTGTTTTTTATTTATTTATTTTTTTTATTTGTCATCAGCTACTTCTTAAAGTAAGAAGCCTCAAGACAAATTTTTTTCCTTTCCAGGGTTTAACACCAGAATAAGGACATTATGATTATGTATATTTATATAATAATAATATTATCTGCCATCATTTTGCCTGAAAGTATTATGAAGTTTTCTCAAATCCATCTGCAATTAGGTAGAAATAAATTATAACTCAAAATGTGGCCATTAAGTGTAAGATAGCCTGACAGGCATCACTCCATTAAACAGTAAAAGAATGGACATTCATAGGGAATTAATTTATCAAGAAAGTAAATAAGTATTAAGAACATTCTAAGAAAGCAGGAACATTTTTATAAAGCAGTTAGAACTTTTTAAAGTTGTTTTGTTTGTTTTTCCCAGACAGAGTCTCACTGTGTCTTCCAGGCTGGAGTATAGTGGTGACATCACCACTGCAGCTACAAACACTTGGGCTCAAGTGATGCTGTCACCTCACTGATGAGTAGCTGGGACTAGAGGTGCATACCATGGTACCTAACTTAGTTTTTTGCAGAGGTGGGATATTGCTTTGTTGCCCAACCTGGTCTCAAACTGTTGGCCTCAAGCAATCCTCTCCCCTTGGCCTCCCAAAGTGTTGGGATTACAGGTATGAGCCACCACACCCAGCAAAAAGTTTTTTTTTTTTTTTTTTGAGACGGAGTTTCGCTCTTGTTACCCAGGCTGGAGTGCAATGGCGCGATCTCGGCTCACCGCAACCTCCGCCTCCTGGGTTCAGGCAATTCTCCTGCCTCAGCCTCCTGAGTCGCTGGGATTACAGGCACGCACCACCGTGCCCAGCTAATGTTTTGTATTTTTAGTAGAGACAAGGTTTCACCATGTTGACCAGGATGGTCTCGATCTCTTGACCTCGTGATCCACCCGCCTCAGCCTCCCACAGTGCTGGGATTACAGGCTTGAGCCACCGCGCCCGGCCCCTGCAAAAAGTTTTTATTCTTAACATTTAGTCACCTGGAAAACTCACTGACTTAGAATTTTACATGACAATAAATAAGGTATTTTTATATTTGGCTTTGCTCCTCCGTTTGCCCGCTTCCAAGTCTATGACTTGAACACTAACTCTTAACATAATAGAAGAGTACAATGTGATGAAGTGAACATGCTGGATTGTTTTTCTTTAATGAGGCAAGTTGGTGAACACACATCTAGCTAGTTATTTGACATAAATACTGATCAATAAATATTTCTCAAGTATAAGCTTTCATAGTAACTCACAAAAGAACATTTACATTCTTACCTCTAGATAACCAAAGTTCTCCCATCTGTACCTCTTGCAAGAAAAGTTCTTGCAATTTTTCATTCTTCACTGGATTCCACAACTAAAATATTTATAAAATATTTAACAATGAGTAATGAATGTAAAGTATATGGTTACTGATCAATTTATTTATTTTTTATTTTATTTTATTTTTTTTTTTTTTGAGACGGAGTTTCACTCATGTTACCCAGGCTGGAGTGCAATGGCGCGATCTCAGCTCACCGCAACCTCCGCCTCCTGGGTTCAGGCAATTCTCCTGCCTCAGCCTCCTGAGTAGCTGGGATTACAGGCACACACCACCATGCCCAGCTGAATTTTTGTATTTTTAGTAGAGATGGGGTTTCACCATGTTGACCAGGATGGTCTCGATCTCTTGACCTCGTGATCCACCCGCCTCGGCCTCCCAAAGTGCTGGGATTACAGGCTTGAGCCACCGCGCCCGGCCCAATTTATTTTTTATTTAAAAAAGACATCTTAAACCTAGTCTCTAAATCCAAAGTATGACAAATGTAGTTCTTAATAATATTTAAACCAATTTTCTAAAATGGGATTATTTCAAGAGATTTTTTTTTTAATGATGTATTTGTTATTTCCCATATGGACTGTCACTGACTGATTTTCCTGTCTTCAACTTCCTTTCTCCACACTGGAACCAGAATTGTCTTATTTAAAAAATAAAACCAAAATAATTGTGTCTCTTCTCTGAGATAAAGTCACCATCATTAGTTACCCACCACAACAGAAAAATGTCCTGACTTTTCAGTTTGCCATTCAAAGTCCTCCACAATAAGACACTAAACTGACCCTCAGCTATCTCTCTGGCCATCACACTCCTTGAATATTGTAATTTCATGGTCTATGCCTCGGCACAAGGTGTTTCCCTCTGCCTACAATGATCAACAGCATTCAACAAACATTTGCTGGGCACTTCCTGCACTAGACACTGTTCTAGGCACTGGAAATAATGGATAGTAAAAAACAAAGTCTGCCCTCACAGAGCTTAGTGTAATAAACAGAAAGCATTAATCAAATAATTACATAAATGTGCAAGTGCAACCATGGATAAGGGCAATGAAGAAGAGGGACATGGAGCTGTATCAGGCTCTGTCCCAGTCAAGTCAGGGAAGGCATCTCCATGTCTACCTCTTTGGACACTCCCAACCCAGCTAACTATGTCAAATAGGCCTTTATTCTCTACTGTGATTCCATTCTGAAACCCCAGAAGTGTCTTTGACTCCGCCTCTCCATTACCCTTTACTCAGTCAGCATGAATTGTATTCTTCCCTGTTACCACTACCACCACCATAGTTCGGGATTTTTATTATCTCTCATCTAAATTTATGCAATAGCTTGTTTTCTCTTCCAATCCATTAGACACACTCCTGTCTGATCAATCTAGGAACACTTCTCTTCTCCCTTTCTTTCCTTTTTTTTAAAAAATTCCTGCTTAGAAATCTTCAGTAATTATTCTATTGAATCTCAATTCCTTAACCTGGACTTCAAAACAAAGCTTCCCTAATTCTATCCCTACTATCACTCTCCAACCTTACACCCACTATTCCTCAGTATGACTCCTTTGCCAGACTGGTTTACTGAATGTGCCTGGCAGATGCCCCACTTTGCATCTTTATGCACATGGTTTTCCCTCCATTCTCCTGAAACCAAGTCCCAAATTCATCATCCTTCCAGGTTCAGTTCAATGCCACTTCCTCTACAGTCTTCTCCAGAAAAACTGCATGTTTCAAAAATGGCTACAGCAATATTCCTAGTCCCACAAGTGCTTTCAGAACCTTGCCACCCCTATTGAGAGGTAGAATCTATTTCCTCTCCCTTTAAATCGAGCAGGCTTCAATGTTGCCAGAAGCAGTACCATCTGCTCTCCCACAGGGGCCTATGTTCTAGTTTACATGCATGTGTATGCTCTCTCTATATACATATGTGTGTGTGTGTGTGTGTGTTTGCTTTCCCCTTGCGACACAGTGCACCACACAAATGAAGAATCTCACATCACACAGATGTGTAGGTGCTCTGCTTAACAATCTCAGCTAAGTAAACATCGAGCATCAACTGTGGATCACTTGTGGCCAGGAGTTGGAGATCAGCTTGGGCAACACAGGGACACCCGTTTCTCTCTCCTTTTTTCTTTTTTTTTTTGAGATGGAATTTCGCTCTGTCACCCAGTCTGGAGTGCAGTGGCATGATCTTGGCTCACTGCAACCTCCGCCTCCCAGGTTCAAGCGATTCTCCTACCTCAGCCTCCCAAGTAGCTGGGATTACAGGCGTGGGCCACCATATCCAGCTAATTTTGTATTTTTAGTAGAGACAGGGGTTTCACCATGTTGGCCAGGCTGGTCTTGAACTCCTGACCTCAGGTGATCCACCCGCCTCGGCATCCCAGAGTGCTGGAATTAC